TCTCCGCTGTGCAGCAGAGAAGTGGGCGTGGCCAAGAGTGCAGCCGAGGCAGAGAGATGAGCTCGTGACATTCTGTGCTCTTTTAGAGCGTTTATAGAGTTTAGAAACATTGTCTGGACAATAATTCGATATTGATATATATCACGATGTACTTTTATTCAATAACTGTGATATGAGTTTCAATATACATTACGTTATGATTACAGCGTTTCACTGACGCATTTCTTTTTCTGTTCGGCGGCCGTTTCAACCCGAACAGAAAAAGCAGCGACACAACCGCGTAAGTGCGTGTTGACGTACGCTCGAGTCCAGAAAGAGTCAGAGGCAGGTAGCAGGCTAGGCTAAGCTCCAACGCGCAGTAAGTTTTCGCTTCAAAATGAGTTCCCATGACCGTCAGAATGTGACTGAACAAGCTTTCACAAGCGAAGAGAAAGCAGATGACATCACTGATACGAGCGGAAAGACTAATCCGGCGGCGTGGAAGTGGTTCAGCGATCTAAGATCCGATAAACTGCAGGTTTCAGTGAGCTGCAAAATGTGCCGGAGAGTCGTCCCAACGAGTGGTGGGAACACATCGAACTGGTTCCACTCGATGGAAGATGCCGAGCGTCAGAAGATGCAGCACAATAAAGTTTGAGCCAACGTGTCCCTGAAACAACACGCCCAGCTGAATCAAAAGAGAAGGTCATGTTGTTGTTTAAAATTAAAACGATTAATACAAAGTTGAGAGTTTTATCTTTATTTGACGGTGATTTCAAATTTCTTTGAAGGCTAAATACAAATAAAAGGTGAACAATAATTTATTTGTACAGTTAGTTTTTCTGAGGCTTTTATAATGTTTATATAGATATCGGAATTATATCGTTATCGATCAAAATTAAGAAATATATTGTGATAAAAGCTTTGGCCATATCGTCCAGCCAGCCCTAGTACAGTATATACATACTAAAATAAACTACTACTTACTACTTGTACTACTATCTTATCTCGGGTTTCAGGGTACGGATCCCCTGCGACAGAGAGAGACCACTGTACGTCTTATGAGGGCCACTTTCTGTTTTTAATGGGACATTTTAAGAACATTAAGAGATTATGGGACTCTAGAAATACTAAAAGTGCCACTAAAGCCAAGTTTACAGTGTAGGGATTTTCAGCTGTTGTTGACAAAACATTATGTCCACACCTCATGACCAAAGTTCATGAGGTGTGGACCATGACTCAAAGACTGAAATCCATTTCTTTCACTTCACTTTCTTTTTCATATTTAAAATCAGTATTAAGATCGTGCTCACAGACTTAGTGGGATACAAACGATGCAATAAAACACAAACCTTAGGATTAATAGACAGGTGGTTAACAAACTGTTGCGTTAAAATGCAAATGCAAACACAAAGACTAAACAACTGCCTGAGCTTTGCTAAAGCTGTTAAAAGAAACGGCATCAGTTTCACTTCTAAATACTAAATAATTTGTTTACTTCCTGTTTGTGCAAACGAAGCTCGAGCCCATAATCAGCTTGTCGCAGTATTTGCCAAGCACTGCAGAAAACAAGCCCTATAAGACGCTTCTGATCACGATGGATCGATTAAGTTCACACTCCAGACTTCACACAGCTTTCAGGGTTGTAAATATTTAGCAGTTTGTAAGATTAAAACAACAGTTTCCACAAAAAACGTTTTTTTTTTCCATGAATTACGCTTACGTTCTTCAGTCTATTTGAAAATCACGCAGTGAAGCTGTGACAGGCTTTGATGCTGCAATTGTCATGAAACCAACACGGCTCATAAACGACCACAGAAACTTTCAATTAAGCCATGAACGCGGCCTAAAGCTGGAATGGTCTCGCTTTATTCTCCGCAGCAGCTTCACTGCTGCAACAAGTGTATGCCTGAGAGGGCGGTTTGTCTTGTCTGAGTGCGTGTTTCAGTCTGCCACTTTAAAGAGCTGCGTTTTATTGCAGAAAACTAGAACGTTTTTTGTCAAAGTGTAAAATACTTTATGCATGTGCCAAAGATCCGAAAGTAAAAAACAAAGGCATTAAATTATTTTCAAATTAAAAAAAAAAAAAGTTGCGTGTCGACACTGATGGACAGTTGTTTATCCCGCGTTGTTGTGCAGAATATAAACACAACCATATGTGGAACCTTGCAGGTTGTATTCGCCTTAAATCATCGCGCTGGGAAATTACCAGCAGTCAAAGCGGATCTGGTGACAGAAAAAAAACATGCTTGGTGGGAGAGTTAGCTCTAGCATCTTACGAGATACAAGTCCTTTTCTTTTCTAAACTTCTAAAACTGTATTTCCGTTCCATGAGATGACACTTACCACATTTAAGGCTAAATCTCTTTCATTCTGATCGTACTTCACCATCTCAGTTCTTTTTTTTAATGTCTTCATAGAGCTAAAAAAAATGCCCTGGTTCATAATAATCATTCATTCATTCAACCTTTATTTATACAGGTTAGTCTCATTGAGTCACGAGGACTCATTTACAAGAGAAACCTGTTTTAAACAAAAAGCATAAATGAGGTACACACAACAACAAGCATTCATATGAAAGCATATAAAATGAAAAGTACAGTACAGAAATATATTTTGTATTTTCTGGCGTATAAGTCGCAGGTTTTTTTGCAAAGATTTGTCAGTCCTGCGACTTGTACGCCAAAGCGACTTATATACATTTTTCTTTTCCATATTCATAACGCAACTTTTGACTGACGCTTTGAATTTCGAAGAACTGCAACAACGAGTCCTCACGTGCGCGCTCGCGTCACTCAGCTGGTGCAGGCGGAGGAACGCTGGAAAGCTTGCGGCTCTGGCTGCGACGGATGGTTGGATGGATGGATGGATGGATGGATAGATGGATGGATAGATAGATGGATGGATGGCACCGCCCAGGCGAAATGAAGCTGTTTTGACCATTAAATAAACACATAAACGTGACGAGTCAGCGGTGACGCATAATAAATGCGACTTATAGATGGTTTGGTTTTTTTCCTCTTCATGATGCTTTTTTTGGATTGGTGCGACTTATACTCCGGAAAATACGGTACCACTCAGTGATAATACTGTAACTGGGAGTTTCATGTTTCCAGCATGTAATTCCTTTCAATGATCTAGGGTCGTGTTGGAACGGTGGCGCAGTTGGTAGAGACGCCACGATAAGGTCGCCGGTTCAAATCCTGGTCCGGGACCTTTATGGGTGGAGTTTGCTTGTTCTCTCCGTGCATGCGTGGGTTTTCTCCGGGTACTCCGGTTTCCTCCCACAGACCAAAAACATGCATGTTAGGCTGATTGGTGACTCTAAATTGTCTCTGTGTGAGTGAGAGAGTGAATGGTTGTTTGTCTCGTTTGTCTCTATGCGTCCCTGATGGACTGGAGACCCGTCCTGGGTGTCCCCCGCTTTTAGCACAGTGATAGATGGACATGGGCACCAGTGACCGCAGTAACCCAAAAAGGAAGAAGTGGGTAAAGGATAATGGATGGATGAAAAGACCAGATTCTTGTAAGGGGTGGGGAGTTAAAAAACTGAACTGTGATTTTTTTTTTTTTATTATTGTGGAAAAATTATTTAAGTATAGATATAAAGCACAAAGTTAAAGTATGTTTGACCCCTTGTTCCAGTATTCACATATTTGCCAAATAAATAACAGGAAAACAGCTAAAACTAGTCTTTAGTTGTTGTTGTTGTTTGTATAACAACCGATAAAATTAAGTTTTTTTGTTTAGTTTTGGTCAAAGCTTGAAAGAGCCGCTGCAGAGGGACCAAAGAGTCGCAGACCCCTGAGACACAATTTTATTATTAAATTATTAAACAAATTCCAAATTGAGCTTTTGCAATTTGAATTTTGGACAAATTTTATTGAAACTTTGCGCCACTGTGCTTGCTGCAGGTTCTTGGAAGCTTTGACAATAATTTGCAACACTTTTCTAGCTGTTCCTGATTTGCTCAACACTTGACTCAAAGAGCATTTTTCCTGCTGTCTGGATTGCTGCTGGCTAATGTTTTCCAGTCAAGAATCAGCCTCTTATTCATCCCGTCATCTTTTTTTTCCCCATCTCTCTTTCTTTTAGCATGAATGTCTTTTTTTTTCCAAAGGTTTTTTTTTTACCTGAGTCAGGATAAAACTACAGAGGCTTGCTGGAAACACCCGAGCTGGAGCAGCATGTCTGCTTGTGTCAACGTATCCCAGACTGCACCCTGAGGATCGCCCACCGGCTTGTCTTAGAGCAATGAAGTTGCTCACAGCCTCGTTTGTCGTCGATATCAAATGTACATGAACAAACGCATTCCCTTCAAAAACTCCCAGGCAAACGGAAATCCCACGTGTCTGTGGTGAGACAGGCCTTTATTATTTTGATACTAATTATATATTAAAGGTCATAAGCACATGTTAAAGCATGTTTAGTTTGGTTATTAAGCTAGAATAATGAATGTTCTCTGTTATATTAATTATGTCATGTATTCTAAGGGTGAAAAATACAAGAGTAGAAAAAAAAAAACACCTTCCAGTACGTTGGCGTTACGTACTGGAATACGGTCAAAGGCGGGTACTAGGATAACATGGAAAAAAAACTGCAGGCTGTTTTTAAGGATCATAAAACAAGACTGATCTTGCTCACGAAAAGAACGGATGTGTGAAGTAGAAGTCCTGAAATGTACAACTGGAAAACTCAGAGATGACGAAACATTTTATTTTATAGAACATGTAGGACTTCAGAGAGAAGGCAAACACATTCAGTAACATCTTTAACTGGGTTTTAATAAACAAATATTGCTTTTAACCTGATAAGGTGATCATGTGAGGATTAAAACTGCTGGTAACTCATCCGGTAGACTACTATATGAAGCAAAGTACATCATTAAATAGTAGGTGATTAGGACACAGTGGCTGATATACACAGCCCTCTGGCTCCGCCTACTGGCAGAAAATAGTAAACCGTAACGTTGTACTAAAATATGAGTGAAAAAGTTTAATTTGTAATTCAGTTTGAGTTACCGTATATATCCTGAAGGGGATGTATCTGAAGCCTCCATCCTCCGTGGAATATTCCATCAACTTCCTGTTCATGGCCCAGAACTGGTCAAACTTATCTTGAGAGACAAACACAAACACGGATCAGCAACTGTAAATTTAGACAATTACTGGACACATTTCTTGTACTAAAATGTTTCTATTTCTGAGAGAAACACTTATCTGTCTTTTGGACAATTTAAAATCTTTTACCCACCTAATCAACATCTGCTTAAAACTTTAATATGTCGAATGTTCTTGTGTTCAACGTCCTCAAATGATAAAATGATAAGATTTTTATCAGCCGTATTCTATGGATTGTGTGCAAAGTTCCATTGTTCTGATGTTGGTACAATAATTATGTACAATAATGGTGAAATTTCCCTAAATAAAACTGCATTAAATACAATGAAAGATTAACTAATTATATGACAAAAGAATATGAAGTTCCCATATCTTAACAAAAATTGAACAATCAAAACATTAGAGCTCAAAAGTTAAGAATAAGGAAAAACTTTTGTCACAATGATTTACAGTAATATGCAACTGTTCTATTAACACTAATTACTTCAAAGTTATCATTTCGTAGTTCTTGTATAGTTTTTGAAACCCCCCCTTTAAGACTAAATCAGACTAAATATTTTCAATGTATCTCATACTTAATGCAGGTCAGAAGGTCTTAACAGATAAACTGAAATAAAAAAAGAAATATCAACTATGTGTTCTGAAAAACAGCAGCGGGCCAGAATATGTATGCAAATTAATTTATCTAACAAAATAAAACCGGTTTTAAATGCTCCAAAATAAAAGAAACTTCAGCTATTTATATATTTCCTGTGTTTTTAATGTATTTTAAGATTAAACTGAGGCTGAGAAACCTAAAAGTTGCTGATAATTCAGTTAATCGTGGATCTAATCAGGTGAAGCCTGTTGCTCGTGTTCCGCTTGAGGAGTCTGTCAGTCAAGCGTGCGCTGGTTTCACGGCCTCCGCATGAAGCCGCTCTTCTCTCTCCTGGGTGAACGTTTGAGCGCTCTCTGTTTCTACTCTCTTTTGGGAATGAAAGTTTTAGCAAAGATGAAGTTTCATCTTTCACTTTCGTGTGCGAGGCCAACTCACTCTTTAGGGGTTAGTTAAAAATGTTTGTTTTTTTCACTAATTGTAAGAAAAATGCCATAAACTAACTTTTCAATTAGTCAATTCTAAGTTTAATATTCTTAAAGTTAATTTTGCATTAAGACATGAGGCGTTCTCCTTTTTCGTGCTTTTAGTTTCATGGGAAATAAATAAATAAATAAATAAAGTGTTGCCAGTTTAAGGCTCTCTGCAGACGTGTGGGAAACGTTCAGTGTTTCATGTAAAGCTTCGACAGTTACAGACCCATCATGTAAACCAGATCCAGTTTTGTGGTACTTATTTGTACAACATGATGCTTTTGTTTAATGTTAACACAACTACTGGTGTCGCCTCTGTCTGTTAGCAAAATATCTTCGGATTTTAATGAAACCCTTAGTACTGTACTTTTCGCTGTATAAGTTGCACCTTTTTGCATAAATGAGCATGCTTGCCACTTATACAGTGAAGTGACTTATTTATGTTTTTTTTCCATATTTACAATCAATTCTTGGCTGAGATCTGACGATTTCATTCATTCTGACATGGAAAATATCGAACACTACCATTTTCAGCCACTAGAGGGCCCTCGAGTAATATGGCAAGCCAAGTGTCTCATTAATAGGTAAAAGTGGCTATTAATGAGACACTTGGCTTGCCGTACAAAGCTACCTTTGTCTCGCTCCGGAACTCCTGGAGCAAACGTCAAATCAGCTGCATTTCGCCGCCCAGGTGAAACGCAGCTGATTTGATTATTAAAGTGCATTTATTAAGGAAAAGGTCAACTGAGACACATTTTTACTATAATGTCGAGCAAACTAATAATTGTTTTAAGGCGGTTATCTTGATAAATTTAGAAGAAATACACAGCGAGTCCTTCCTCCGAGCGCTCCCGCAGCCACAAATGTATTTTGAAATTCAGCCGATTTGACCGTCAAAGTGCATTTACTAAGGAAAAGTTAGACTGAGACACACCTTTGCTATGGTTTTGAGCAAACAAATAATTGTTTTTAAGTGTTAATCTTGTTAAATTCTTGTTGAAGTCCTCCCATGCACGCTCTCGTGGCCGCCATTTGGCAGCCAATCGATTTTTGGCACAAAACCGGCTCATGTTTCCAGGTTGTCAGCGGTGACGCGTATCAAACGCGCAATATGACGTATAACAGATGTGACTAAAACGGCGAAGCATCTATTTATGTTTTTTTCCACTTTATTAGACATATTTGGACTGATGCGACTTATACTGCGGCAAGTACGGTAATCATAATATGTACATGTACAACTGATTAACTTTTGGAGTCACACCAAATAAAGACGGCCACCACAGCTAACAAATACTATCAAACATAAAAATGACTCTCTGTGAACTTTACAAATATTGAGCTCAAACTTGGTGTGGTGGTGGGCAAGAGAAATCTTCAACAAACTCTCTGAGCACATTAACATCTTGCAAACTGTTAAACTTGGGCAAAATATAATTTATAAAGTTTGACCAAAACAGCTGTAACTACGCCCCTTCTCAGAATAACGTTATAAGTTTGTTATCAAAGACAGAAGGCCAAATGTAGTCCTTTAAGTTAAGGTCTTAGTTTGGTTTTCCACCTCTCTGTATTTTATGAATTGATACCAAAAAGTCAAACTTGTGCAGTTTTCACTTATTTAAGGATGCTGTTGATGTTTAAATAAAATCCATACTCTGGTGCAAGTTATAAGAGAAGGAAATGTGTTTTTTTTTACATGATTGTTGTCGAACAATGATCTCTACTGTTTTACATCTGTATATGGTAATTAAAATGGTTTAAATCAACGTGAAGGGATATGTTCAGAAATATTGATTACTATGATCCTGATCATTACTAGGCTTTAGGAAATTTTGAGCAAGCATGATCGGTGTGGGAGAAAAACACCTAATTACCATATTTTTCAAACTATAAGGCGCATTAAGTGAAACAAAACAGTCAGATAAGTCAAACTTTATTCAACTCGTTCACAATAACCACACGAACTTGGTTCGAGGTCATTAAGCGCAATCAGAATTAATACATAAGGCGCACCTGATTATAAAGCTCGCTGTTGATTTTTGAGAAGATTTTAGGGTTTTAAGTGCAACTTATAGTCTGAAAAATACGGTACCTCAAAATGAGGTAGTGTGCTGGTTTGAGCTGACTGCTACAGAGGACAGCCAGTCATGAGTGGGTGAAAAATATGCTGAGCTGGATTAAACTGACCAGATGAAACTCTGTGGTTCTGTTGATCAAAGACAAACAGAAATAAATAAAATAAGCGCAGGGAAGCATCACACCCTGCAGCATCTCCCACAGCCGCCCCAACTTCACCCACACAAACATCACAGTCAACATCCTTTCCCAAAATGAACCTGTCAGCACAGAAGAGGCAGAAATGAGCGGGGGACTGGTTTTAGTGGGAAAAGTTATTAAATACCGCAATTCAATCGCAGTGCACGTCCTGGACGTCTGCGAATTTATCTGGACGCGTTTGTTGTGTTTGTGACGCACCAAAAAAAAAATGACAACAACCAAAAAAATAATAAAAAAATAAAAACGTTGTGTGTTGCTGCTGATAAAATCCAGAACATATCACGTTTTTGTGTGTGTGCATCATGTGTGTAGGTGGATGAGTTGCAGGAATAGCGCACATGTGGATCTTTGCATTAATCAGTTGACGTTTGACAGTAAGATTGGAAGTCACTTCCTCACCAGCTGCCTGCGGTCTGTTTTGATTAAAATGTTCATATCTGTCCATGTGCAGCTCACCGTTCTGCAGGCCCATCCACAGCTGCTTGTGGTCCTTCTTCTGCATGTCGTTCACAACTTGGCTCTTGTGCTTCAAGGTGTCGGCCTCCTTGATGCTGGACATGAAGTGAGCCTCGACTATGGAGCTTGATGGGCAGTGAAGAAGGTCCCGATCTGGAAAACTCTACCGAACGTTCACATACACACTTTATGTTGAAGGGTTTGAACTTTTGACAAAACTGTGCAAAAACAAATGATACTCCGTTTACACAAACGGTAAAACAAATCAGCAATCATCAAAGTTCATGCTCAATCATCCAGGTACCGAATCCAATAATGCTCAGTCGGGTCATCTGGACAATCAGTTGAGCTTATAAATTCTGTTCAAAGGATATTTTAGACTGCCAGAGCATGATGTAAGCTCGAGTCTGCGCAATTACACTTGTGAAAAAAACGTACAATTGTGTTATGATATTGTAAATGAATTTTCCTTTGTGTTATCTATCAACACTTAGAACACGTTATGATTATTTAGCTGCTAAGTAGACCTCATTCTTCACAATTTTGCTACTGCAGAAAACAGTTTCGAGTCCAAAGACGGAAGAAAATCAGTTAAAAATAGCAAACGGTCCACACAACTATCAGCCATAACATTATGAACACTCATCTAAAAGTGTTTAAGAGGTTTAATGTTTAAGGTTTAAAGGTAGTTTGCTACTAATGAAGAGAGACGGTACGATGTGAGACGTGTTACAGCGGTGCAGAATTCTTCAGGTGGGTGGCAGATGTCCACTCACCTCAACAAATGCCAGGATGTATTAAGCTGAGTGGAGTCCTTTGATCTGTCAGTGGTTATAATGTTATGGCTGGATGCTCAATGTGCTGCCTATTCATACATGTGGTCGAGGTGATGACTCCTCTGTATTTGTAGGCATCTTCTGATGGGCTCTTACCTTAAAATGCACAGTGATGCTCCAGGGTAGGACCGTATTAGAGGCATGGAGATCAAACAGAACTCCAATTGGATAATGCCTTAAAAATAATAATAATTAAAAACATTTTGTGAGTGCATTAAGCTCAAGATCACAGTGAAACTAGCATTACTTCTAATATTCAAAAGCATTTTTAACACACCTACAATACATTACTTGCTTTACTGTCACTGAGAAAACAACCCAAGGTTTTACGTGTCAATCTACTTTTAAAATAATATTTTTAAACAATACTATAAAAGACGAGTCATTATTTGAACAATAATTTAGGTGTTCTTCAAGGCATTTAATGCAGTTGCCTTAACGTTTCAGAATTTTTAAAACACAGTAAAAGTTTTATAGTAAGTTTAATCCACTATGTTTCATCTGCAGGAATTTTATTGTAAAATTCTTGATTTGTCATAATCTGGATGCATATATTAAAACATTTTATTTACACAGAATATTTATTCTAAATGATCGATAATTGAGCCAAACTAACTAAACTTGTAGCATTGCATTAATGGATCAAAACTAATATAAATGAACCACTTCAAGGTAAAGATCATATATTACGATACACAGTAAAAATCTATATGTAAACAAAAACTTGGTGAAAAAAGTAAAAATTATTGTATTTTTGAATAATGTTATGTTTCAGCAAAACAATCTAGACATTTAGGAAAATAAAACCAGTAAGCACTGATTCTGGTATTTACACTTGTCAAAATTGTATTAAAATGGTATCAACAGCAGCTGATTTTCTGAAATATTATCAGAAATAACGTTTTATTTTGCTTAAAATTTCTCATTATGTGTTGCAATAGGGACATCTTGTGGCAAAAGTTTGTACAAGTGCTTCTTTAAATACCTCTGCTAAAAATATTAACCAGGTTAACCAGAGTAAACACAGCTCATCCATAATATCACATGTTCAGTAAGGTTTAGGACAACAGAGGTGGCAGTGGTTTCTATGTTCTTGAGAACATGATTACAGGAGTCTACAAACCAGAAGGGATTTCTTTTAGCCAGCGCCAATGGATGTAAACACTTTTTAGATGAATGGAAAAACAGGTATTGATACTCGTTTTTACATGCTGACACGTCAATTTCACACAAAACATTGATAAAATCAGAAATGTTTAACCCCAAATGAGCCTGATTTTGTTTTATGTATTTAACTAAATTTAGTGAACAGGAGTTCCTAAGTTAAACGGTTAGATGAACTGGATTTTATTGCCACTTCCTGTGCTTTTAGTTAAGCTTATTTACGGTATTTACCTTTAATAACAAGTAAATCCCATTGAGATCACAGATCTCTTTAGAAAAAAGGATGCTTGGGCCTGAAAGCAGCCTAACATGCACGGTTTGGACTGTTGATGTCTGTATTTCAAGTACTACTGGCAGTTCATCTGGAGAAAGGGAAGGTGGACTTTTTCATAGGGACACTAAGTGTTGCAAATATTTAATCAGACACCAACAACCCAATTCTTTTCTTACCATTTCAGAGGCGTTCCTTCATACTCAAACCACATTTCCTCCACGTCCTCCGCCTTCATCACTTTGAGAAAGTGTTTTTTCACTTTGTCTGTAACCAGAGGGAGATAGCTCACTCTGGGCAGCAGCAGCTAAAAAAGTCAAGCGATCAGAGGATGAAACACGTTATTAAAAAAAGTCTCAGTGTGACATATATGCACACATGCACTTACATACTGCGTCTGCATGCTTGTCTGAAATAACCGGTAAACTACAACATAAAATAACCAGCAGATGAATTGAGTTCATATTTTTTAATTGGATGTGAAGAGGAAGCTTTCAAATTTACACGAATTGAGGCATTATTATGTATGTGCTACTTAAACAAATACAAAATCACGGTCCAACCTCTGACCTTTTAATCAAGAAAATCTACAAATTAGTGCTGTTCTCATTCTTAGATTTAAATAACACAAAAATTTTTGACTAATGCAATTTTCACAAGCCATCAGGGGGTGTATAGTTATTTGGTCATGAGTACTATATCTTGAAAAGCATTTGCAATTAATTCAGCTTGGACTCCGACAGCCTGCAGTGGTCTTTGCCCGGATCATTTATGTTGATCCAAGTCGGTGGTGAATTATATTTGCATGTAAAATGCAAATGTGTACAGACGTGAGCCAGTGCAATACATCAATAAACATGGCAGCCTATCTCGTACCAACAGCAAGGCATATTTTTAGAATTAAAAATATATATTATATGAAAAAGGCAAACAATTAGTTCAAAAGACCTTCTGTCTTGCCACATAAATCCTCCCCAGTGAACAACATTTATGGTAGTACTTATAAGTAGACATTCAAGATGATTGATGACTGTACACCGATGCTTGTAGTGTCCATGTGGAATATCTTGTATCCATAATATTCTTATGATGCTCATGAGAATATTTAAATTGTTGCTGTACCTCAACTTTAGTCTAAAAATAAATCCCAGTACTTGTACTACTTACATAGTAGGGTTCCGCCTCTCTCTCTGTAATCTCATCCGGGTTCAGTGTGAAGCAGGTGGGTATCCGACCGAACCAAACGTCTCTCAGGACATCCTTGTCATCTGCCATGCTGCAGCTGCTGATCCCAGAGGGACATAAGAATAAACTCCCCAAACGATGAGGTCTGAGTCCAAATTCCAACAGCTTCCTGCTGTCAGAAACAAACCACAACAGGCAGCCAAACCAGTATCACAATACTTCAATGGCGTGAACAGAGCAACAGCTTTCACCATCCTGCGTTTTCAGATAACAGACTGTCAGAACCATTATTACCAAGTCATAAAGGCGGAAACTTACCTGCTTGGCTTTCAACCTAACTTGTCTCCTCTCAAAGTACGCAAATGTGGCTCCAAACTCACGTTAGCTTCAAAGCTAAGTAAGTTAGCTTAGCAAGTGAAATTTAACAAAGAGCAGGTTCCTGAACTAATGTGTGCTTACTCCCATGGTGTCCTTAAACGGGTATTCATTATGAACAAGAAAATGCAGTGATAAGTACGAAAACCTTACTTTTGTCTCGATGTTTTGTAGGCAGCCTGAATGACAGTGGGGCCCTAAATGCTGGTTTGTTGTCAGATTGTCATTTCCTCAGCTGTCACCGGAAAACGGATGGAATTTTCTCGTAAAACAGCGACCCCTCGTGGTAACTCTTTATTGCATCCATCCATACATTACTTCAAAAAAAGGGTAAATTTATATATCTTAGCCTTCTTTAAAGATTCCCGACACTTGTTAATTACACGAAAAGTTACATTTAATATTAGAATTATTTTTATGAGTTAAATCGGAAAAAAAAAAATGGAAAAAAAAAAAAATGGACGGGTGAGTGACGTCATAATCGTGCGACTTGTAAAGACTATTTCGAAGCTGCTCATCCGTAGCTTCAAGAATGGACCAAAAAACGAGCACGGACAGCCTTGAAATGCGTCTTCAGACGCTGGAGAACCGAATATATGGCGAAAGAAAGAACAAACTTGGAAAACCTGTCAAGGTCCGCTAATAATATTTTCTATAACGAATTAAAGAATTGTTATTTACCCTTTAGCATTAGCATAGCCGACGATGGTTCTGTAGCTGGGAGTTGACGCCCTTTTTGGTTTAAAGCTCTTTAATGTGGATTCAGATTGTGCTAGCAGAATTAGTGAGAAACATTACATTTTTAAGTAATTACTGGTACAATATCTAGTTCAAGCTGTTTGCTAGTCTTGTTCTTTAAAGGATTCACTTATCTGTGTGGGCCACAATTATTCATTATGTCTTAGTAAAACGTTATTAGTGCAAAAAAAAAAAAAGTCTCATGCATGTCTCTGTAGTGAGCTTGTGCCATTCTTTGCGATGTGAATTACTGCACTTTTATTTGGCCTTTGTGTTAAACAAATGTTTTGACGCCAAAGGGGTTGTCATGTGATGTTAAAAGTATTTACCCTGTACCCTAAAGAGAAACTGAAGTTTTTTTAAATGGATGTTGTAATTTCAAAGTACTGATAGTAAATATTATGAAGAACTTATTTTATTATGTTACCTACTGTGCGCTTTTCATTTCATCTGCCAGTAAGTAAAGTACAAGAATGCTACTTTGACACAGTTCTTTTTATTAGTTTTTTTTATAACACTGTCAATCACTATTGTTTAAACTAATTAATATGCTTTTTTTATACAGTGTGCAGAGTCTTTAGCCAGGATTCAAGCAGGTTTGACCAACACGGCCAACAAGAGAGAAAGAGTAAAAATCCTCCACAAGAAGAGTAAGTCACACTTTATCCATTCAAGTTAAGGGTTTTGATCATTTATTAGGCGTTCTCAGTAATGTTGTAAATCATTGTGAATTAAGGTGACTTAACAATATTTACAAGTGATATTTAGAAAGCGGTGGCAAGTTACCTCAGGAACTTCTGTTATTCTGTACTGCTTGCTATTAATTTTTATTAATATTCCTTTTTTATTTCAGTTGAAGACCTGATGAAGTATCTGGATCCACAATTCACTGATCACATCACTGTTCCTGACGCAATGAAACTGGAGTTCATTCTTGCCGGTTTGAGCTAGAAAGACACTGACTGGATATAATAAAATATCTTGTTTTCATAAAAATATATTTGTGTAACATCGTTATCCTCATTTTATTACCCTCAAAATAAATAATTATATTTTTGATAAATGAATTGTGTTTATTTTCTGTTTCTGCACAGAGGAAGAATTCTTAGTCTCCCAGGCTGCTTTGTTGGAGCAGGTCAACAGTCTGCAGCCACTGTTGGACAGCACTTATATCAGAGGTTTGATACTCATGGAAACATGCACATCAAAGCTGAACTATCTCAATAACTAATTTGTCTGTTATTTTACCATGGCAGCAAAGAAGAAACAAATGCTTACTGTGTTATCTGCTAGAAATGCTTCGTTTTAACCTATAATAACTGCCATGTAATGTGATTTGTATATGAAATGGGATCTGCTTTTTTTAATTTACTTTTACCTTCAAGCTGGTGTCAGTTGTCTATCTTCATTGTTCACAGATGTACCTGAACATGCAACCAAGCTGCAGCGACTGTCGCAGAATCACATAAAACAGCAGGTAACCTTTTCTTTTATGTGTTTCTGTCTTACCTCACTTGTTCTTTTAAAATGATCATTATTGCTTTTACTTAGTAGGTTTGTTTGCTTCCAGGACCAAACTGAGACTCAGTCACAGGAAGTGAAGAAGCTGTTTGAAGAATACAACAAAACGGTACTATGCACAATGACGTTTTAAAAATTCACTACAATAAAAGATCAAGCACAATACACAAAAAAGAAATACATTTTGTTTACAGAAACTTTATTTCACACTTTATTATATACTGGAATAATAATAATCAAATTAATTTTAGCTTACATTTTTTCTGTCTTTAACTTGACGTATCACAACCCAAACTGTTGCCGTCATCTCTCCACCCGCTGATATGCGACGTCTATTTGATAGATGCTCCTGATGTCCAAGCAGTTCACCCAGTGGGACGAGACCCTGACGAAGTTGGAGGAGGCCAAAGGAATCCGACCTGTGGAGTAGCTGCTCTGAACAAACTAAGATATAATTGTTGAGGAAAACCACTTCGCTATGGTTGGAGTTCTTGATCAGACATGTTACAACAAACGTCCCGTGCTTCTTCAGTGAGTCAAAAGAGAAATGATCATAAAGCATCAACAGCATTTCAGCAACAGTTTCTTTGTCTAGATTTAATTATTTGTTCCATAAGATTCAGTTAAAGACACACGCTACCCTTTAGAGCTCCTCAAAGAGTGAGCACAATTGTCTTTATTGTAATTACATATTTATAGCGCTCTTAGCTGATTGTTGGGGTTATTTAAAGACCACAATGTTTACTGCTTATTAACCCAGTGTTTAAAGTGTATG